GACATTCACACACCATAGAGTTCCAAAGTTTCTCCTTGTAAACAAAGTTTTTATTCACTAAAAAAGTCAGCATATTTTATCTAATGATTTCTTATAGAGACAAAATGTGTTGGGCTTCTTTGGAAAACAATCCCCTTCAATTTTAAATCTGAAAAAGCAAAGGCACCAATTTCTCTCTCTGCCCCGAGGTTTCAAGAGCCTCTTGTCATAACAACAACACAGAGTTTCTCAGCACATCCTTTTTGATGGAATAGAATATGATGTTTTTAAAATGGGAAAAAATTAAAATAAATTCATGCATAGATGTACATCACTTGATTTGTTATCACATTTTGGTTTGAATCTGGTAGGCCTTTTCCAATTAGAGCAGATCTGATGAATTAACTGCTAAACAAGGAGTCAACACATTGGTAAATGCCACTGATTCATTGAATCTGATCTAGCTTAGGCCATGACTGTATTCATTACGTGAGAACTTACAGCAGTACATAGTACAACACAATACCAGAATATGTGAGAAAATGTGCATATTTGAACTGTGTTGTTGGATCTTTCATATGTGCAAGCCACTAGATGATTCATTCATGAAATGACGAATTTACTGTTAATGTGGGGATCATAAACAAGGAACATAGTTTAAGCTGTCAAAAACTATATTCAGATGCTCTGACTTTTATGCTTCTTGTAATTCAAGTTCTCTATCTTGAGTATCAAATTTAAGAATCAAACTTGGCTTACAACAAGATAATAACATTTATGCACTATTCAGGAAAAAAACTTGCTAAAACAGAAACAGATTCGGGTCATAATATTATCTCTCATGTGGAATACTGTTGATACGTTTTAGTCAGGAGGGCAGATATTATTAGAAATATCTGAGACCTTGAGTTTGGAACAACACCAAAGTTTGTCGAACAGTAAGCCAGGTTTCATTGCTGTGTTGACTTCAGTCAGTACCACTTAATGCAATATAAATCAGTGGAGCATAGCATCAACAAAGAGAAGATCTTATGTCTAGAGTCTTAACAATGTTTTCAGTTGCTTCTGCTGACATTATATTACTTTTGTTTTCTCTTATAGTGATACTCATCCCTCCGTTAACAAGTTTACTTAATCTTAGATGAAAGCTAATAGAGATATATTCTACTTCAGTAAGTGAATGGGTTCAGCTGCTTTTTCAATCAAAACAATTTTTCCCTAAAATTTTAGAATCACTTTAGCATTATTTGTTGTATTCATGATGCAACTATATCATATATTTTGTAAATAATGCAATACATCATTCAGTTTGTACTGTATTTTTAAAATATATAATTTCACAAAGACAGTTTTAAAGAAATGCAGGATAAACAATATTTGTTTTTTTATGTATGTAACTCAAGATAAGTGAAACCATACGACTAAACAATCATATCCTGTTTGGGTCATAACAACATCAGAAATACATGTTTATCATCTGCTTTGGACAATGTAGCAAGCTTTTGGCCCAGGGCAAAAGGGAAATGAAAGCATTTTGCAGTTGGCCAAACCAAGATAACCACATATTTCTGAAGTAACTGATACCCAAAAGGAGCCTAGTCATAAGATCATAGTTCATGATTTAAGTACACTAATTCTTTAAAGGAGCTTGTTAAAGATTTTAAAGAGAAAACTGGACTTCCTTCAAAACGCAACATGCAGAAGCCAGACTGTATGACAAATGGCAAATTAAGGTATTTAGTATTACTTAAGGTACTAACTTCCACCTCTTTATAGGGAAGGGAACATTGTTTCATTGTTTTTAAAGATCTGGAATATTTTGAAAGACCCAGGGATGTTATTTTCATGGGATCTCAAAGACTTTGTCGCCAACTAATGAAAAAGTAAAGAAAAATAATTTTTCATCATTTCTAGTCAAATTGTCTAATACAAGAAAACCCTCTTTTTCTTTTCAAGCTTGCTATACCACATGCCCTAGAACAAATTCTATCTATCTCTTGTTGGTGTTAATCATTGTTTGACATTAACTGTGTACCAATGACGATGTTTATTTGAATTTAATTTGCAAACCACAACAGTTCAGCACTATCTATAGCAGTGGTTCCCAACCTTTGGTCCTCCATGTGTTTTGGTCTTCAACTTGCAGAAATCCCAGCCATCTTACTATCTGTTAGGAATTGTGGGAGCTGAAGTCCAAAACACCTGGAGGACCAAAGGTTGGAAACTACTGATCTATAGCTTGTATTGGTGCAGGTAAAACACTACAGTTTCAGTATCACTGAAATCCATATGCCTAACATTTCTGACATGCATAATTTGGTGTCTAACTTTTCTGTCTTTCCTCCAGTGTGGAAGAAAGTCTATATGGAGTTGAAAGACGTCTCTGAAAAGGTCTTTCAGTTTCATATAGACTCAACCTCTGTCTCATAATACAGGGTGTAAAGGCTTCCTCTTCGTTGTCTGATATTCTATTAAATCTAGTATGCTGCCACCATCTGTGAGGTACTAGGCTATGCCACCATCAATTAATAAGGGTTTCCTTTGAAAAAGTACACTGAGGCTTGAGTTACTAAAACAAGAACAAGTTTATTTGGAGTATGGAAGGGTCTTAATGGTTTCAGAGTTTTCTTCTCCTGAGGTATAAAGCTTCACGAGTTGCAGTTTCAACAAATCTTAATATAACTTTAGGATGTCTTTTACTTCACCAACTAGTTCTTTAGTTGTTACACTTCTAAATATGTTTCCATATTTGGTATATTAACTAAGGTCAGCTAATGCCCTTGTCTCCCTTCAGCTTCCTGCTGAAGTAAAGAAGTCCCCTTGACTTATTTAAAACACTCAGGCCAAAAGCTTTCTCTTAGTTTGGTTCACCACATGTTTGAACCACCTTCCCTTTGGCTCGATGACCATAGGACTGAAGCCTCAAAATGTCTGCTTCTGGTAAGTGCAGTTGGCTCCAACCCTTTCTCCATGGCAACCTAACAGAGTGCTGAGCTTGGTCCCATCCCTAGTTCTGCCATTTCTAAATGGTTAACCCTTTATGTACATCCATAACTGTCTTTTACCTCCCGAACACACACATATATATAATATTCAACTATCTAAGCATATATACATACATACAATCATATTTAACTGTAGAGACACATATACACAACTAAATCCAAATTGTACAAGCTTCCAACTTGCATGGAAAGTCTCCAGTGTTCCTATGACTACTGCTCCAATTCCAGGACTTGTTTGACTTTGGCAGCAGGGCTAATGGTATGGACTCACAGGATGATCTCCTAGGAGTATATTCTTTCCTCTTCCAGGAATGCAGAATAATGTATTTGACTCAACATTTGCAACCTAGAATTAATTTTCTGTAGTACGCAAGAGAATACTCATGTGCAAAAAAAAGTTCCCCCTATAATTTAAGAGGGAAACTTCAGAATGCTAAAATGTACATTGCAAATAGAAGTAAATTGTCTCCTTCATATCCACAAGAACGAACAAAAATGCCTGTAGAAGGATGCTTGAGATTACATAAGAGAAGAATGGAAAGAAAATGCTAGTACTTCCCATAGCAGAGAGAGAGAGAGAGAGAGAGAGAGAGAGAGAGAGAGAATGGCACAGACAAATGCATATTTGCCTAAAACCACGTAATGTGTATAAACTAAGCATTTTTGTAAAACAGACGGATAGCTTGCTCGAAGGTTCAGTTTTACAAATTCAGCTTCATCCATCATGGAAAATACTGCCATCTAGATTCTCAACTTGAAGGCTGACTTTATTACACCCCAAAGTAAATACATTATAGAAAGCTCTTAAGGTGATTGCTCTTTAACAGCTAGAAAGCAAGTTACAGTGCAATCCTAAGCCTGTCTAGGCAGAAGTAGATTCATTTAAGTTAGAGGCGTTTTATTGCTATGTAAGAATCATCAGAATTGCAGCCTCGGTTGATTTTCTTCAAAATTGTACTTAAATGACCAAATTTACAAAAACATCATTAAAATACAAGCAACACCAGGCCATCATGCAACAATTCATAATTCTTCAAGTAATTTAGTCTGAACAATATGAAAAAATCATTAAAATTAGAAAAAAACATTTAACATTCTTTAAAATGCAAAATGAAAAACTTTATCCCTACTCCCATAAAACAAAACAAGCAAAATTTCTTCACATTCTTTGTGCTGTTTGCAAATTAACATGCATAGGCGAAAATAAAATTGAATTTGGATGTCTAATATCCATTAAAATATTAGAAATCTTCAGATACAGAGCAGGAGATAAATATTTTAATAAATAAATTATGAGGTGCTATTCCATTATCCGAGTGAAGGCCACTAGGGGGTGCTAGAGAGAGAAAGCTAGTCCATTTTGCAAGGAGGGGATTAAAGGAGGAAAATAATTTCTCAAAATTATCTCTGGTTATTCCTCCTCCCCACTTCCCATGTCATAAACGAGGGTTGCTTCCATGACAGGGAAATGGGTGGGGGAATAACAGGTAAATAGGAGGAAATCATTTTACTCCTTCACCCCACTCCCTGCACCCGTATAAAGGACTATCCTTTTCTCTCTAGTGCCCCCTTGTGGCCTCTGCCCAGATAATGGAACAGTACCAATTAAAAATAAGTTTTTACTTTTAAAAAGCTAGAAAGCTGCAATAAATGCAGGAGAAATAAATGTATTCCTTTTCTGTAGATAATATTTTAATGAATTGAATTGATTAACATTCAAAAAGGAACTCAGGGCCCTTCCACGCAGGATTTTAGGTTTGTGATGTGTTTTGCAATCTGGCACACCTCACCTGCCAAATTCACTTAGAGTGGCACTGTCTCCCATGCTCACAGACACTGCCTCACTGGTGGAGGGAGGCAGCAGAGCTGTAGGAAGATAAATATGATCTGCAGATACAGGATGAATGTGAAGAATCCTGCGACAGAGTAAGGAATTGAACTAAATCATCTTCCATTAATGGTCTGATTTGGGGGGGGGGGGGGGGGAGAGAAGGGAAAAGGAGATTCATAGTTTACCTCCATTCTCTCTTGTTTAACATCATCAATCTCATCATCTTCCAACAAGGCCAACAGTTCCCCAGTTTGATCAATTGAGATAAGAAAGTCTTGAGCAATTTTCTTCCGTTTGTTGGTGCCACTGCTGAATTTGTCTGAAAGATATTAAAGAAGGAAGATTTTAAAATGTGATGCAATTGTTGCAAAAAGACACAGGCTTGGATTTAGATTGTGCCTCCTGAGGATAGAAAGCCCCTTTTCCTGAAGTCATGGCAGTAATATGAAGTGCCGTTTTCAGATGAAAAGATAGTATTATGAAGTAATTGCAGGCCATGCAAAATTCCACTGACAAACGGCAGGGAAGAGAAACGGCATGTTTTAAAATAAATCTTATATTGTTTTCATATAAGGCTCTAATGGTTGCAAGATTAATCCAATAGACGACTACTTTGGAAATGTTTTGATACTCATAGCATTAAACAGACAGAACATTTCTAAAGAAAGGTATTATCTATATAAATAAAAATGTAATGTTCGTTTGTGGGATTAACATAACTCAAAAACCACTAGACGAATTGACACCCAATTTGGCCACAATACAGTTATCAGGCCAACAAGTGACCATCACTCATAAAAACACTGAAAAACACAGTGGAAGAGACTTAAAAAGCCAAATAATAAAAACACATATACACAGACTGGGCCACATCAATGTGTGGCAGGGGACAGCTAGTTTGTAATAAAAAATATTGGAGAAACTATAAATCACAAGCACTACCTTACACTCCCACATCTTCAAACATGACATGAATGCCTTTTTAGCATGGTGCTTTGGAGATATCAAAAACAATCTATATCATTGTATTGTCGAAGGCTTTCATGGCCGGAATCACTGGGTTGTTGTAGGTTTTTTCGGACTATATGGCTATGGTCTAGAGGCATTCTCTCCTGACGTTTCACCTGCATCTATGGCAAGCATCTTCAGAGGTAGTGAGGTCTGTTGGAACTGGGAAAAAGGGTTTATATATCTGTGGAATGACCAGGGTGGGACAAACGACTCTTGTCTGCTGGAGCTAGGTGTGAATGTTTCAACTGACCACCTTGATTAGCATATAATGGCCTGACAGTGCCTAGAGCAAACTTTTGTTGAGAGGTGATTAGATGTCCTTGTTTGTTTCCTCTCTGTTGTGCTGTTGTAATTTTAGAGTTTTGTAATACTGGTAGCCAGATTTTGTTCAATCTATATATTGTAATTATTATTTCAAGTCATGCAAATAAATACATGATAAACTGTTATTTCGTTTCTTTTTATTAGGTTAATTTTCATGTCTTCTCCAGCTTTGCTAAATATAATTTGAAGGAGTGATGATCACTGGCAAACAGCCCTCCACAACTACTCAGAACTATACCACTGAAGAGAGGGAAATGGTAAATCAATTCAAGCTTGTAACTTCTTTTAAAACGATAGTAAAATGTATTTTATGTTATAGAAGATATTATCAGGGTTATTTGAGTTTCACTAATAATCTGGTTTTTTTGTTGAGGAAAAATATAGTAAATAAAGAGATTAATGTTACTTTGGAACTCCATCTGCTTTCCCAAAGCTCTAGGTTGCTGGATCTCTGTATCATTTAAACATCTCAGTCTACCAAGGGAAATTACTAAAGGCTACTCTGGTTATTGCACCTTCTACAATTAGCTCAAAAACAAATAAAAAGGGAGATATGCAGCCTCCTCAAAATTTGACAGACGTCTGAGGCATTTATCATACTTTAGTAATTTTATATGATGTAATGGAGCAGACATATTATGTGTACCTGTGCAAAATATTCAAATTATGTTTTATATATAGATAGAGAGAGAGAGAGAGAGAGAGAGAGAGATTGCCATGTGTAAGCTATATATACTGAAGCTGATTAAAGAATTTTAATCAGCACCAGCTCTGTAGTTTAGCATTAACGCTCCTGATATTAAGCAGTTCTACTTAGCATTTGGTTGCAAGAATGACATAGAATGTGAATGAAGCAGCATAAGGTTAAATGGAGTTCTCTGTTAAATAAACATTTTGGATGCCTGAAGCTATTTATGGGTGGAATATATTTTCCATTTGGTTTATAAAGTACATATACTGAATATGCCCTTAGAAGTTTTCTACCTTCAAGAAGATCGTCTTCTTCAATGCCTTTGACAACTTTAGATTTGTAGTCTCGGAAAAACATATATTTCAGTAACCTTTTGAGCTTTTTCTATGTTGGAGAAAGAAGAAAAGAACAGACACTAATTAAAATTTAATTCAGACACTGTTATTTGTGCACAAAATTTTGTACATAGAGCAACAAGCACAATAATTAACAGGATAACATTTGTGGACGTTCACGCTTAATCATACCAATTATAATTATTTCAATGAATGCATGTGTAAACACATTTCAGTTCTAAACCTCTTTTTATATAATCATCAATATTTCCGCGGAGGGCACTTACTTTGCTGGATGTGCTAGGGGCATCCTACCGGACAAAAATAAAAATGAAGTCTACCAAGTGAAGATGTCATTTGGCTCAGCAATGCTGATATTGCTTCAAAAACGGAAAGATGCACAAATACAGCAGAGGAAGATAATGGCACCTGTTTGGGTAAGCCATGTTTGTTTGTTCAAACAGAGTGACATTTTCCATTTACCTCAGACAATTTAATAATTGAGAGAGAATATAGTGTTAATTCAGATGATTTCAAGTCAATTTTCTTAACTTATTAAAAAAACCTCAATCTATCAAATCAAACCAAAAGACAAGTCACAAAATTCGATAATTCAGGAAGTAAAAATTAAAACATTAAATGGATTGAGATTGGTATGGGAATCACATCAAGGATTTAAAACAGAACAGAAACAGTGGGACTTAATCTGGAAAACTCAAGTGTATAAATCAATTTCAGCACAATTGAGAGAAAATACTTTGAAAATTATATATAGATAGTACTATTATCCACTTAAACTACATAGAATTAATAATGGAATCCCTAAACTATGTTGGAAAGAGTGTGGAGAAACATGTGGTTAACGTACCCAAAAGTTATTTCTCATTCCATATAAGGTAAAAGCCTGATTTGGAATTTTGGGCATAATTTTGCTTGCATAGGAAATTATTGCAATGGCCCCGTGGTTACGGTAACACCTGCTGCCACCTTTTAGGGGCATTTGAATGTTTATTAAGCATTTACAATTATTTTATTTTCTGTATTTGTTGACAGAATTTAGAGTGCATTTTGTCTCTGTAGCTTACGTCTTGTAGCTGAGCTTCCAACTGTAAGACTAAACTAAAATGGTTCCCTTTCCCTCCTGAACCTGGAAAAAAAAGGGCGGAACTGAAACTTAACGATTATAGACAGGTGGCTAGCCCCATGACTGCAGCCTAGCAGGAACCATCCAACTGCAAAATGCATGGCCAGAACAAGCACATGCAAACGCTCAAAGAACGAAAGGAGTTTGGAGCTCCTGGTACAGCCGTACACAGTAGGAAAAAAGGAAAAATGTGTTATAGATGCAATCAAGATTTAATCAAGGAAGTCACAATTCTATGTCTGCAAAGACCTTAGTAGAGCTGCTGTTGGCAGGGTGATTTGGATGTCTCCATTCATAAATCTAAGTCAATTTGATGGCAGTTACCAACAAAAATAAAGTGATAGATTACGAAGTCTTAAGGGTAAGCTGGGCTACATTCAGTGTTCCAAAGAACACTCAAATAATAGGCTCAATCTGTTTATATGTAGCTTATTTTAAATTTAGCCACATTCATTGAGTATATAACTTTCATCCACAAATAATTTGTATACTGTACCTTATCTTTGCGCATCAAAAAAATAAGATCTTCAGCAGAGATGACTCTTGCTCCTCTCATTTGAGAAACCTCAGAGGCTTGCTGCAACTGTAAATAAAGGAGTAATATGAGTGAGATGAATGGTGGCAATGCTTTCCTTTGTTGGATTTGGCCCTAGCCACAGAGCAGACCTGTCATACCATAACAAGCCTGAGCTAGATGTAGTATTCCAAAAATAAAATACCATTAAAATTATAACCCATAACTTGATTTGCAAGCCAGCATGGTGTAGTTGTTTAAATTGTGGACTGAGGAGACTGAAAGCCAAGGTTGAAATCTTAGCTAGGCTATGGAAACACATTGGATGACCTTGAACAAGTCACATTCTCTTAGCCTCAGAGGAAGACAAGGGCAAACCACCACTGAACAAATTCTGGCAACACTCAGCTGTTGCCTTATGGTGACTGCATGGATTTCATAGTGTTTACTTAGACAAGGAGTACTTGAGATGTGATTGTGCCAGTTCATTTCAGAAGAGCTGATATTTATTGGTATCTAATTTCCAATCAGGGCTGACCCTACTTAGGTTCTAAAAGCAGACAAGATCTGGTACCTTTACCATTTTCAATTTCAATTTTGAATTATGACAAGTGTAATGAAGGAAGATATGCAAGAGGATAAAATAGAGGAAATAAAAAAAATGGACAACACATATAGAACAGGTAAAATTGATAAAATCAATACAAATATTATAAAGAAATTAAGAGATCATCATCATCATCATCATCATCATCATCATCATCTTTATTTATACCCCACCACCATCTCCCCAAAGGGGATTCGGAGTGGATAACATGAGACCAAGCCCAGAATTACTGTACAACAAAATAAAATAAAATACAAATAACAAATAATAACATGGCTAAAGAGATCAATATTGTGGAAAATGTGGTTGGGGAGTTGGGTGATTTTGGGGGAGGGATAATACGGGACTTTTCTTTTCTTTATTTTTTATTATTGTTTGCTTAAAAATCTAGTAGTAGGTGTTAATAATATAAAGGATATGTAAATATAAACAAAATAAATGAATAATTACTAGGAATGCTGGATACAAAATGTCCCAGATGTACTTGCACCAAACAAAAATAAGTGAAAATACTGATAATCGGATTTAAAAACCCACTGGGTTACCTAGGACAAATCAAATTATCTCATCTTTAGAGGACGGTCATGATAGCCCAGTGATAGGTTTGCCTTAAGAATTGACAAAAGTCAGAAATGACTTGAGGGCACACAACATACTCTTAACAATACATCAAGGAATAGTTGCATTTATACAGTCTTACAATTACAAAGACCTCTTTGAAGGCAAACATAAGACTGATGTGGCCCTCTATGAAAATGAGTTTGACACCCTAGCCTTAGGGTCAAGACATGTCATAAATGACTTGAGGCACAATACAACAAGACACCTTAATTAAACAGCTGAGGATTTATTTTTTTTTTAAAAAAAACTGACCTTATTTTAACAACTGCAATTGTAGAAGGACTGTATCAAGCTATCCTTTCACATATCATCTATATTCATGTACAAGTTGCCCTCAATGTATAAGTTGTATAAGCTGGTTTGGGAGCCAAAATTATGGATTTTGATATGATACATGAATAAGTCAAAGCTCATTCCAAAGAAAAGCGCCAGCAATGGTACAAACTGTCATCCTCACCATTTTCTACCCAGGGTTCTCAAAATGGCTTTATAAACAAGCAACTTAGTCTTCCTATGGATGTCCTGGTCCTCAAACACTCTCTGCTTCATTCAGAAAAATGCTGCACTCGCAGAGCTCAGGCGGTGTTGTATTTCAGTGTCAATGTTGACTTTTATGGAGAGGTGGCTGCCAAGGTAGCAGAAATGGTCAACGTTTTCTAATGTTACACCATTAAGCTGCATTTCTGGCATTGCGGACAAACTGCTGCCCAGGAGCAAAGAGATAGGAGCACACTGCCATGCCACAATTGTAGAAGGAGCTGGTACAATATAGGGCCTCGTTGGATGAGGAAAGTATAGTAGCAGTGGCCACAGTAGCAGCAGTGGATAAAATAGGAGGTGGCCTGGGCAATGAGGAGAGGGAAGGACAATCTTCCATTTGCTTACCCATGAGTAAACCTTCTCCTCCTCACTCTGAGCAGCCCAGAAAAGAAGGAGCTTAGTCTGCCTCAAGAGCACCAACCCTCTCTACTCTCTCTGCCACAGTATCCAGAAGTAGAATGGTGACAACAGAGATATACTCGCATTCACTCACAAGTCAATGCAGGGCAGGAGTGGTTTTTGTTTGTTTGTTAATTTTTAAGTTATAAATGAGTACATAAATCACTTAAAGATTAGAATGTCTCAGTGGTTTGGATCAAATATGTAACTAAGACAAGTCAATTGGGGACTTAACTCTTGCTGAACTGGATCGACTTCTAAAACTTGAGTAATTCCCTTAAAGATAATTAACATTTTGTTCCAAACTTCAGTTTGCTGAAGAAGGCAAAGAGATGAAACACATGGCTTATGGCAGGCATTTCAAGCCTGGTGCTAGAATGATTTATTATAGTACAACTTCTATCCATCTATCCCTGTATGTGCAGTCCCCAAGTTACAAACATCTGACTTACAAATGACTCATAGTTACAAATGGGTGTGAAACAACAGGGAGAGAAATCTACCCCCAGGAAGGGAAAATCACTCCTGAAAGAGTTATCAAGAGGAAAAGGAATCTTAACTGAAACTTTATCACCAAGCCTCGTTTCCACCACAAGCTATTTTTTTCAAAATCCAATAATCACAGGGACAGAAAGTGAGGTGAAACCTTCTGAACAGGGAAACAGGCAGCAAAATGAACACCACAGGGGTGTTAAACCTTCCCTATGTTCTCCAAAGTTTGTGTGTTTGTGTGTGGCTGGAGTTACACGTAAAATGTACCTATTCCGACTTACAAACAAATTCATCTTAAGAACAAAGCTATAGAATCTATCCTGTTCGTAACTTGGGGACTGCCTGTATTTAGATCCTGCCTTTCTCCCACAGCAAAATGCAAGGCGTCTCACAAAAAACCTTAGAAAATTACAAGAACACATATAGTTAAGGCATATAACATTCAGATTAAAGAAATATGAAACCGAACTCCCATAATCCCCAGCCAGAACAAGTACTGTTGAGAATATTTTGACCATTAAATTACCATGACGTTGTTGTTGGCTTTTAATGTAGCCAACCACCAGAAATTTCTGTATAGATTTTGTTTAATTTAAATAATATGAGTCCAATTATGAAAAAATATCCACCAATTTCCCTCTTTTCCTTTCCAGTGCTACAAAAATATCTCAGAGTCCTCTGACTTTTTTAGTACTCCAACAAAATGTGTTAAAGTGATGTACAAACTGCTGAAACCTAAGCTTTTTAAATAATAACTGAGAAATCCATAGGAAGTTCACAATATACTGAATGTTGAAAGATATTTAAAAAAGGGGGAAAAGGTGCCATTCAGACATTGGCTTCCAAAAGTTAAGCTGCCTTCACATCCACTTTCAAAGTTCACTGTCCCGGGAAGTTGCCTTGGTGGCATATACATAAAAGAATAAATAAAGTAAGTAAAGTTCAATCATGAAACAACAACATATGAATTATTTTTCTAAGAGGAATATGCTTAAAAACTTTTTATCACTTTTCACAAATACAGTTAGTTGAAAATAATTTGAAGCAACTCTTGCCTTCATATGACGTACGGCAATGGTTTTATATTTAGTACAGGATGAATAAGTATATTATTAATCTGTGATCTCATGCTGGTATGAGTTGAAATACACCTATTCAGGAGTTAAAAGGATCAACAAAAACAGTAACTGTTTCTAATGTGTGTGTGTATGTGTGTGTTGAGAGGGGTAGCTTTCTTTTTTGGCAAGCGTTCAGCAGGCAAGATTCAGTCAATAAATCATAATACTGTATTGAATTAATTTTTTCCCTCAACTCTAATCACATGCCTACAAAATGTGAACTGTATTGAGTATGCACAACACAAAACATACTGCATGAAAAAGCTCCACATGTTTCATTTGCAATGCTCAGGAGAGCCATTGCAAAAGCAAGAGAACTTTAAGGAATTCAGAAGCAGCCGTAATATAATCTTACTTGAAACTGAATCGGAAAGTATAAGAATGTGAAAAATGATAGTTCAATTTCTTTGGTGCAGGAAAAGTGGCTTATTTAAAGAATATACAGGGTACTTAAATTTCCAGCATAAAATATGGAAAAGCTGGGTAAAATTATGATACAAAGAACAAGATGAATACCTCATTGGTGTAATTTGGATGAACCCAGTGGATTTATATCCAAACATGCCTTCTTAAATGTATTTCATAAGTGATTGAAATTTGAAGTTAGCCTGCTGATAATGCAACATCTTTCCCTACAGAATCCTAGTGCTATTGCAGAGTTGGGTGTGCTTATGGTCATTTCAATGCATCCATATAGTTCACCCGATTAAGATATTAGGAGGATTGTCCCAATTGTTAAATGGCATAAAATGTGTGTACATAAATTTTGGACTTCCCTCCCTCCTCTCTCTCTCTGCCCACCTCCAGTTTGCAAAACTACTCAAAAACCTGCAGAGCTTCCCAGTCTGAAAAGGTATGGGGGAGGAAGGGGGCTGTACTGGGAATGGAAGAGCAATTCCCTCCTGGTTATATTGGGTTCCCTTCCTCTTACAGCAAATGGTCAGCAAGCAGATGTGCAAAAGACTACAGGTTCATTATTTTTAAAAATCCAAATAAAATTGACAAAAAGGGCAGCGGTGACACAATGGGTTAAATTGTTGAGCTGGTGAGCTTGCTAAACTGAAGATTGGCAGATTGAAGCTGCAAGACAAGGTGAGCTCCTGCTGTCAGCCCCAGGCTCCTGCCAACCTATCAGTTCAAAAACATGCAAATGTGAGTAGATCAATAGATATCGTCACAGCGGCAAGGTAAAAGGACAACCCATGATGTCATGCCAGCTATGTGACCAGCTGTCTATGGACAACGGCTCCTCGGCTTGGAAATGGAGATGAGCGCCTCCCCCAGAGCCAGAG